TTTGATTTATTGTAGAGATGAGGTCTCACTGCCCAGGCGGGTCTCGAACCCGCGGGCTCCCAAAGGCGCGGGATTACAGGCTGAGCCACCAAGCCCGGCTGGACCAAGTTTTTTGTATTCAGAGTCTTTTGCAGAACTGCATTCAGTTCCTGTCTTCCCAGTGCTTTTAAATCTAGTGTAGGTTGTTCATGGCTGGGCTGCAGGATGCCCATGAATCCTGCTAAAATCCTTTGTAAAATGGTGTGGGCATGGGTCTTTTTTCCTGGAAAGAGTCTGAACAGCCCACGGGGTGGGAGTCGACAGAGCACTGCAAGGAAGTGGATGTGGTTGGAGTGAGAGAGGGAGGCCGGGGTCCAGGTAGTGGCAGAGCCCAAAGAGGCCTCGTAGGCCAAGGTAAGACACGTCTAGGTTTTTTTATTCTGTCTTAATCCTGAAATGCCGTTGAAAAGTTTATTGCAGGGAAGTGACAAGATCACATTTCGAGAAGAAGCTGGAGAGAATCCCAAGTGGATTGGCTGAATCCCTGGACAGGGACAGGATCTCTGGGGAGAGACTGTAAGGTATGAAGAGGAGAGGGTTTGGAACCATACCTTCAAAAGGAGCCTGCAGAGGAGACAGAGAGTGGCCAGAAGTATAGGAAGGAGGGAGGAGAACCAGAAGAGTGGAGCACCCTGGAAGTCGAATGAGAGACTGTTTCAAGGAGTGAGTGGTCAACTGTGCTGAAAGCTGCAGAGGTCGAAGAGATAGGAACTAAAACTACGCATTTGGGTCTGACTACATGGAAATTACCGTTATGGGGAGCTGTCCAGGTAAGAGGAGAGGCAATGGAGAGAAGGGATCGGCAAGGATTGCTCAGGGGAAGGGAATGGTGGCATTTTAGCTGGAGGGGCAGCGAGAGGAAAGCCGCGGAGGCAAAGACTGGAGCATCTGAAGAAGATACAGCTGAGGGAGTGAATGCTTGAGAAAGAGGGTGTGAGAGTTCTCAGGCCAGAGAGGTTGGGCTCAGCACAGGAGCCAGGGGGTACCCTGGATAGTGACAGGGGCAGGTACAAGAAGGGGAGATAGTGATAGGCTTATGTTGGGTGTGATGGGTTGTACAGAGGAGAAACAAGGGCATTGGTTGAGAATAAAGGAGGGCGGGGGGAGCTGGAAGTCTGAGTTGAGATCTGAGATAGTTGGTGGGAGGTGTGGCAGACTGAGTTGACCAGAAGGTGTTTGAGGATGGTCTGGCAGAAAGAGACAAGCATGCTGCCAAGGCCAGAAATGAGTCTCCTGGACCTTTCAGGGAATTGCAGAATAGAGCGATAAGGATGGAGGCTAGCTGAAAACAAAAGCCACATTTAATATATAGTAAAGAAGACATCATAAGTCACAGAGGAGGAAAGGATTGTTAAAAAAATGGCGCTTGGAGATAATGAAACTATTTATAAAATCTCCTTAGATTATCAGTTCATGCCTACAAAATTCAAATGAACTAAAGAGCTAACATTAAAATGCAAACAAAAATATGGAAGGCAATATAGATAGATTTTCACTGATTGTGCTTAAATGCAGTAGGAGTCATAAAGCAAAGGGAAACTTCCCTAACCTTCCTTTGACCATTTAAAACTACTTTGTTCTGACACATGTGGCAATATGGATGAACTTTGTTGAGAACATCATGCCGAGTAAAATAAGCTAGACAAAAAAGGCAAATACTGTGTGATTCTGCTTATATAAAGTACTGAGAATAGGCAAATTCACAGAAACAGTAGAATAGAGGTAACCAGGGGATGGGGACAGGAGGGAATGGAGAGTTATTGTTTAATGGGTATAGAGTTTGTGTGTGGGGTGATAACAGAAGTTCTAGGAATAGATAGTGGTAATGATTGCACAACACTGAATATACTGAAGGCACTGGAAAAGGGTTAACATGGTAAAAATTTTTGTTATTTATATCTTAGCACAATAAAAAAGTGACTAGTATGCTAAAATATACCATCAACAACTGAAAATGAACTGAAGAAAATACTTTCAAAATTGGGATTGTAAAAAATTCCATGCTCATGGATAGGAAGAATCAGCATTGTTAAGATGTCCATCCTACCAAAGGCAATCTACAGATTCAATGCAATACCCATTAAATTACCAACATCATTCTTCTCAGACCTGGAAATGACAATACAGAAATCCATATGGAAACATAAATGACCACGAATAGCCAAAACAATTCTTGGCAAAAGAAACAAAGCAGGAGGTATCACACTTCCAAACTTCAGACTTTGCTAAGAGGCTACAGTAATCAAACAGCCTGGTACTGGTAAAGAACAGGCATATGGACCAATGGAACAGAACAGAGATTCTGGAAACAAAACCTCAATTTCTCAATCAACTCATCTTTGACAAAGCCTCCACCAACTACTACCGGGGAAAGGAGGACCTATTCAGTAAATGGTGCTGGGAAAACTGGCTGATCCCACGCAGAAAATCGAAACAGGACCCCTACCTATCACCATACATAAAACCTCAAACTATGAGAATCTTAGAAAATGCAGGGACACCCTTATGGAAATTGGAACTGGCAACCAATTCCTGATCAAAACCCCAAGTGCCCATGCCATAAGAGAGAAGATTGACACGTGGGACTTCATCACACTGACAGGCTTCTGCAAAGCCAGATAAACCATCAAGAGGGTGGGGAGACAGCCCACAGAATGGGTAAGAAAGATTTTGCCAACTGTATATCTGACAAAGGCCTATAACATCCAGGATGTATAAGGAACTCAAACATGCCAAAAGGAAAAAAGCCCCACTAAAAAGTGGGCAAAAGACATGAATAGACACTTCTCAAAAGAGCATATATGATGGCAGCCAACAGACATATGAAAAGGTGCTCAGCCTCAGGAATCATCAGAGAAATGCAAATCAAAACCACATTGAGATACCACCTAACCCCAGTAAGAATGGCCATCGTTAATAAAACAACAACAGATGCTGGCAAGAATGTGGAGAAAAGGGAACGCTTCTACACTGCTGGTGAAAATGCACACTAGTGTAACCTCTTTGGAAGACAGTGTGAAAGAACTAGACATTGACCTTCCATATGACCCAGCAATCCCCATACGGGGAATATACCCAGAGGAACTCAAATCATTATACAAAAAAGATACCTGCACACGCATGCTTATTGCAGTACTATTCACAATAGCAAAAACATGGACCCAACCATGCTGCCCACTGGAACTGAAGTGGATAAAAAAAAAAAAATGTGGTACATATACACAATGGAATATTACATAGCCATAAAGAAGGACAAACATATGGACTTCACAGCAACTTGGCTGGATTTAGAGTCTATAATACTCAGTGATCTATCACAGAAACAAAGAACAGGATACCATATGTTCTCTCTCATAAGCAGACCCTGAACATTGACCATAATACAATAAGAGAGGGATTGGCAGTAGGAGGATACTGCCGGGGTGGGGGTGGAGACACAATATCATTTAGGATACCTGATCTCAAACCAGGCAAGGTGGGGACCAAAGGGAGACCCAAACTTTATTTGTAATGAAGTCCACCTGTATACCTAATCCTGAATTGTATCCTACATCTTTAAAATATTTTTTTAAACCAAATTGCAATAAATAAGTAAATATTTAAAATATTAAAAAATGAGATTAGAACTTAATATGTAGTTTATACAAGTTAATTTTTAAAAAGCAGATAGGCTGCAGTTTTTTTAAAGAGCAAAAAGCAGAAATAGTTGAGTCACAAAAGGATTAATAAAAATGATCAAAGTAACTTATTAAGAAAAGTTCAGCCTCCTGAATAATAAAAGTAAGTCAAACTAGCGTTGTATCATTTTTCACATATCAATAAAAACTGTGAGAATCATTCATGTAGCTTGTGAGAATGTCAGCTGAGATCATTTTTTTTGACAGTGACCTTAGCAACTTTTCAGATGTTCACATATCTTGTCTTCAGAATTTTTCTACGAATTTAACCTAAAGGAAAAACGTAAAATGTGAACCAATAATTCAGCATATAGCAAAAATTACAAATAGCCTAAGTACTCAGTATTAGGAATGGGTTATAAAATTATAGTATATCCATCTCATATACCATACACTTTTAAATTTTTTATTTTACATGTTTACAGAGCATTCTAAATGTTTACAGAGCATTTTTAATGTCACAGATACAGAAAAAAGCAGAACATAAATTGTATATATAATGAATGTTCACTAAATAGGATTCATAGCATTTGTACTTTCACTTTTACAGTCAACTGTGTTTGCTCAACAGTGAGAGACAGAGCAAGACCGACGGCTTTAGTTGTTCAGACAACTCACCTGAACATATCATAGTCTAGCCTGAAGTAAGCAGGAAATGCAAACAGCCTGCTTTTCCCTTGGCCTCACGGGGCAGGAGCACCTTGCCATGGTTAATGCACGAGGGGAGACCCCCAAAGAATCCCAGAATGTATTTATTAAAAAGTGTATATGTATTCTTGTATGTCTAGACTTGAGTCATCTTCAAAGTACTCTGTTTGATGCAATACACCTATCAAGATGCTCTTTCCACTGCTCAAAACAGTTTTTTAACGCATCAATTTTGATGCCTGTGAGTGCTTCTGCCATTTTTTGCTTCACCTCTTCCACACTGGCAAAATGCTTCCCTTTGAGGACTTTTTCATCCAGGGAAACACAAGAAAACATTGCTTGAGGCAAGATCAAGTGAACAGGGGAGTGGAGCACGGGGGTCATGCCGTCTTTTGGTCAGAACCTGCTAAACTCTCAGTGTGGTGTTGGCAGGTTGCTCATGTCAATTACCCGTCATGAACTGGGCAAATGCGTTGAAAGTATCTCCAAAACAAAAATTTCACTGAAGCCAAACATGCCTCTCACAACTCTAGCTGGTACACAAATGCCGATGGGTTCCCAGAATACTTACCTCGCAGGGGAGGCCTGTCCTACAAAAGGCATGCCCTCTAAAAAATAATTCTGGCTTTTTGGGGGGGCCCCTCGTAGTCCTAATGCTTAACAGTCTGTCATTTTGCACAGTGTAGCCCCCAACCAAGCTAACTACTTCACCTGGTGCTTAGCCAGAAAATAGAATCCGCTCCAAGCTTTGAGGAACTCCTGGCTCTGTTGAACTTGGGGAGACAGAGGGTTGGTCTCCTGTGTGTTGCCTGCTTAAGAGATTTTCTAGGAAAAATCTGAGCCTTTGCAATTTTTACTTGTAGGCTGAACTCAGAACCTAAGTCCCATGTGTAAGGGAACCTTGCTTTATGGATTCTTGATGTCAAAATATCATCTATGGTCTGTGTGCACCTGTGTTCATAGCTAGCAAGACTGTGACACTGTTTCTGCTTCCTTCTACTCTTCAGAATTAGGCAACTTCTCTGTAATGCATGTGTAGTGCTTTTATAGGCAATTACTTTGGAAAACATGCATTTAAAATAGATTTTTTAGTTTTCCGTTACTCTTTGTAAACGATGTATTTGTGCCTAAAATACCCTACAGCCCTATTACTATAAAACTTTTAGCTCCAGAGATTTCCTAGTAATGGCTACCATTTATTGAGACATTATGTACCAGGCACTATGCAAAGTACATGACCTGCAGTCCTCATGGAATCCCCGTAAGACAAGGGTGAGATGCTGCTGTTCTCTCCTTTTACAGATTGCTGCTGTTGTAAGTGGTACTGCTTGAACACTTACTGTGAGGCCTTTTCTCATTGTTTTGTCTAAGGCTCATTCGCTTGCCCAAGATTGCCCGGTACGTTGGAGCCGAGGCTGGGTGTGGGGAGTTTGGCCGCAGAGCCCCTGCTTCTCCCCAGCATGTGGTGCAGATGTGCAGCCTGAGCTCGTGGGTATCGGGCGTGGGGCCCCAGCCCAGATCTGCCTGTGCGTTACTGTTATGCTGCACCTACCCCTTCCTATTACTATTGATGGTCTTCTTAGAAACTTGAAAAACCAATATTTCCATCTTGGCTAATGGTAATAGGGATTATCTGAAGAAAACTCTGGTTGAACCACTAAATGTAAAACAAAAGCGACACCTACAATCATTTCAATCTCCATAGGCACTAACAATGAGCCGCCATTGCAAATGGCAAACCAAAATGGGGCCGTTGTTACTACCTTTCCTGATAGCATAATCATTTATTTGGATTAGATAGGACAGGCTAGAAAGTGAAGCGTCCTCAGCATATATGGCAGGGGCATTATTAGAGGTAGGAATTGAAAATGGCTGTTCCCTGCTTTTCTTTCAAACTACAAAGAATAAGAGAAGGCTGCTAACCTAACCAGCTAAATAGCCCAGTACTGCACACATTTGTGGGCATGGCTGAGACACTTAAGAACACACTCAGGGCTGGGCGCAGTGGCTCAAGCCTGTAATCCCAGCACTTTGAGGGGCCGAGGTGAGGGGATTGCCTGAGCTCACGGATTCGAGAACATCCCGGGCAACTTGGTGAGAACTCATCTCTACAATAAATCAAAAAATTAGCCGGGCGTGGTAGCCGGGCGTGGTGCCTATAATCCCGGCTATTTGGAAGCTGAGGTGGAAGGATCGCCTGAGCCCAGCAGATGGACACTGGGGTGGCTGTGAGTGTGCCACTGCACTCCAGCCTGGGCAACAGAGTGAGATTCCAAAAAAAAAAAAAGAGCATGCTCAGGTACTAAAAGATAAACAAACTAGGTATGTTTTCACTACCAGATACAAAAGAAATAGTGATGAAGGAGTTAAAAATATACCACTCTGACGTACTGTTTTGAATCAACGGCACTTGAGAAACAAGTTACAAGGTCATTCTGACCTCTTTTCTGTTTCTTAAAAGCAGGAGATGCAATTTCCATGTGAAAGGCACCCTCCCTGACCAAAAGGAGTGACATCCTTATCCTCAAGGATGAGGAGTCGATACTGAACGAATTCTGTGCAGGCCTGATTAAAGTAATATGTCTTTAAAGCCTCCCCACACAATCGGGTTGGTTCTTCACAACTTCCTCTATTTTGTCCCACTCAATTCATAGGCAACTGACTCTAACTGCTTCTTTGGGTCTTCCTTTCCTTATGAGGGCTCCTGTATGACATAAATTGTATGCTTTTCTCCTGTTCATCTGTCTTATCCAGTTAATTCTCGGGTCCAGTCAGGACCTTAAGAGGACGGAGATGGAGTTTTGCAGCCCCTGCTGATGCAAAAGCTGTAATGTATCAGACACAGTATAGCCATCTCTTGTACTAAAGATGTCAAGTGGAGCTAATAGTTCATTTCATTAGGGTATTTAAAAAGTATGGTCACCATTCCACAGCTGGCCTATTTTCCCTCTGCTCTACTGGGGAATACAGTCACATGGCATTTCTCATTTTACCTGGCTAAGATTTATTTCAATTCTGGATTTATAAAAGAGAGTTTCATTCACATAATTCTAATAAAACAAGCATCCATTTATTAACTCATTTAAAATAACTAAGGCCAGAAGTGTTGGCCCACACCTGTAATCCCAGCACTCTGGGAGGCTGAGGCAGGATTGCTTGAGCCCAGTTGTTCAAGACCAGCCTAGGGACCACAGCAAGACCTTGTCTCTACAATAAATTAAAAAATTAGCTGGATGTGGTGGCACATGCCTGTAGTCCCAGCCACTTGGGAAGCTGAGGCAGAAGGATTGCTTGAGCCCAGGCGTTGGAGGTGGTAAACCATTATCGTGCCATGATACTCCAGCCTGGGCAGCAGAGTGAGACCCTGACTCAAAATAAAATACCTGGCACATTTTAGGTAATAGTTATTCAGCAAATATATTTACTCCAAAATAAGAGATGACCCTTCCACCTTTTCTTAATAAGTATCTGCTTCAGCTAAACATCAACTTGAAAATGTAAAACATTCCCCCCCCCCAAAAAAAAACTCTTTTTGTGTATATATCTCCTAAAAGGAAACTGTTACATTTCAACAGTTGTGGAAAAGAGAATTTGTGTCAAAACAGCATTTGAGGTCTGTGAAGCAAAGTCTTTGTGTTCTTGCTGTGCTGATCTGTAAAATGCAAGTAATGCTAGTTCACAAGATTGTTGCAAAGCACCAATAGACAATATATTTACAAAGTATGAGCTGTCTTAAATTATGGAGCAGTGTACTACAATTACTTTAATAATTACTCCAGGGGATATTTTCAGTATTCCACATGAGTAGTTTTCCTAATTTAAACTAGACATTTTAATTTCTAATTTAAATCAATTTTTATTTCCACACATATAGCTCAAATGTGTAATTGTGTGTGTTCTCAAAGTCAACACCCTTATATTAAAAACGTGTGTTTTCTTTCTTTCAGATACCATGAGTACATTTTGAGTCCCAGGAGAGGAAACTAGCCCTGGCCTGCAGACATGTTGTGGAAGGTGCTGATGAGACCCCAGCCCTGCAGGCTACATTCTTTCGGAAGGATGCGATTAGCTCCAAAATGCAGACCGTTGTTAGCACGCCTCGCCTATACAACTGATAGACAGTCAAACAAAGAAAATAAAAAAACAGCGGAAACACTCTCCAAATTTTCCGTGGATCTTAGGAAAATCCGCAGATTGAAAGGATGGGTCCTTTTAGAGGACAACACTCATGTTGAAGAAATTGCAAATATTTTGCAAGAACTAGGTGCCAGTGACACTGCTGTAGCCAGTATTTTGGAGCGCTGTCCAGAAGCAATTGTCTGTAGTCCAACCGCTGTTAGCACCCAGAAAAAACTCTGGCAGTTGGTCTGCAAAGATGAGGAAGAGTTAATCAAGTTAATAGAGCACTTTCCAGAATCTTTCTTTACTGTTAAAGACCAAGAGAACCAGAAGCTGAATGTTCAGTTCTTTCAAGACTTGGGACTCAAAAACGTGGTCATCAGCAGATTTCTGACAACCGCTTCTAGTATTTTTCACAATCCTGTGGAGAAGAATAAGCAAGTGATAAAGATTCTCCAGGAGAGTTATCAAAGTATGGGTGGCTCCGAGGCCAACATGAAAGTTTGGCTACTAAAGTTGTTAAGCCAAAACCCATTTATTTTGTTAAATTCTCCTGCAGCTATAAAGGAAACGCTGGAATTTCTCCAGGAGCAAGGTTTCACAAACTTTGAAGTCCTCCAACTTCTATCCAAACTCAAAGGATTTCTTTTTCAACTTGGCCCAAGAAGTATACAGAACAGTATTTCCTTCTCTAAAAATGCTTTTAAGTGCACAGATCAGGACCTGAAGCAATTAGTTTTGAAATGTCCTGCCCTTTTATATTATTCTGTCCCAGTTTTAGAAGAGAGACTGCAGGGATTACTGAACGAGGGAATTTCTGTAGCTCAGATAAGAGAGACACCAATGGTTCTTGAATTAACGCCACAGATAGTACAGTACAGGATAAAGAAACTGAATTCCTTAGGCTATAAAATAAAAGATGGACATCTAGCAAATCTAAATGGATCAAAAAAAGAGTTTGAGGCCAATTTTGGTAAAATTCAAGCCAAAAAAGAAAGGCCATTATTTAACCCTGTGGCACCATTAAATGTTGAAGAGTGACTTGCTGACTGTCGTTGCTGCTTCCTAGCAGTGCAGAGTAAAACTGACCAGTGAAGACTTGGACAATTCAAGCAGGTTATGGGTACTAGTCATTTTAAGGACCTGCTTAGCTTCTGAGTTGTTTAAATTACCTCTAGATAGATCATCTCTGACTCATCTGCTGTATTTGGAAATATAAGTTGCATTTATAAATAAATTTATAAATAAAGTTGGTAACTTTGACCTTAAAGTATTACTTCAAAAACTCATGTACTATTTAATGTACATTTACATGGCACATCAGTGTGGTATTTTATAAGTGAATCATTTCTAAGACACTGACAAGCACTCCTTTAACTCAAAGTCCTGATCCATTTTTACTCATACTGCGCATTTCATCTAGGATGCAGATCGTTTCCTCACTACTAGCCCCCAAATTACTGTGGTCTGAATTCTGTAGCTTACTTAGTGTTAGGTGAAATAGCAACTAACTTCCGTATCTTTCTTTTTTGTTTTTTAGAGAAAACGAATTTAATCTTGTGGTTTAGAATAAATGAGCATCTTTAAGAACCAAGTATTACTCATCCAAAAAGAATAGCTAGAGCCTACTTGTATGATCAGTTTATTTAAAATTGGCCATAACATCTTTCATGAGACACTATTGCATTCATTACGTTTGCTGCCAAGTGGCAGAGTCCAGTAATACTAAGTCTGACTTCTATTCAAATCTTGTGAATAGAAAGGATTACTTACGAGCTGGCCTAAGAGAAGTCACCTATACCTGACGTGCCACAAGAAATAAGTACCAACAAATTGGAGACTTTTAGGAAAACTTCTTTATCAAACTTCCTAATTTGAAATTATCTAATTTAAATACATTTGAAACAAACACAGCTTTTTAGAAATCTTTCTGAAAACCCAAGTCTGCCTACAAGGGAAAGTGTGAGGGTTCATACTTATTTTAGGAGAGGTATTTCAAGTTTCCACTTCTAAATCTTGTTTCAAAATAAACATTACCCAAATAAAGATTGGCTCACTTTCAGCTGCGAAGTTTGAACTTTGTAATAAATACACAGCTAGACAACTGACTCTGACACTGAACATCTGTGCACCACTTGTGTGTGGCCTTTTAAGTTTATGAAAAAATTATGAAAACTGCTAGCAAGAGCCTCACACCACCCATTTGTTCAGTAATTGCAAGTAACCTTCACTGCAAATCTGTACAATTCCTTAGTTAGGATAGGGAGAGGGAGCCCTATCTGTGCACAAATGCTTTACAGTCCTAAGGGTGAAGTACCATTGTTTACTGTTCTACAGATGAGGAGACGTGTGTTAGTTCCTTAGGCTCAGAAAAATAGAGTCTGTAGGGTTGAAGCAGGGTTGAGTGATTAAGAGAGTGGCAACAGAGGAGGTAAGTAGCACAGGCCCATCCAAGGGGCAGAATCTTCGTCTAAGTGCCACGGGAAACTGGGGGGGAGTTCCGAGTTTTGCTTCTTGTCCTGACAAATTATCTATCAGTGGTGCCCTCTCTTGCACTCTTAAGTGTCTCTGTCTGGAAATACATTATGTTACATGGTAATCTCAGTAGTTAGATGTCAATTTCGAGATGCCTACTAGACATCCTAGCAGATGTCATACAGGCAAATTAAGCCTGGAGTTGTGAGAAGTCAGGACTGAAATAGGTATTTGGGGATTATCTGCATATCTGTGATATTTAAAGCAAGCCATGTCTCCAAATGTGACTGCCTGCGAAGAAAAATTGTGAATATGGAGTAGGTGGCTGGCCAAGTCTGAAAAGGGTTGGCAGAGGAAGCAGTTGGTCAGAGGAAGAAAGAGTACATGGTCAATAATCCACTAAGGGGCCAACTAAGATACAGAGACGTGACCAATGGATTTGGCAAAAAGGAAATCATTGGTTCACCTTATCAAGAGTGATTCTGGCCAGGCACGTAATTCCAGCACTATGGGAGGCAGAGGCAAGAGGATTGCCTGAGCCCATGGCAACGTGGCAAGACCTCATTTCTACAATAAATAAAAAATTTTTTTTAAAAAATTGGCTGTGCGTGGTGGTGCATGCCTGTAGTTCAGCTACTTAGAAGGTTGAGGCTGAAGGATCGCCTGAGCCCAGCAGGTTGAGGTTGCGGTGGCACTCTGTTGCACTCCAGCCTGGGCACGGAGTGAGACCCTAACTCAAAAAATAGTGATTCTGGGGTAATGAGGAGGGCAGGAAGGCCAACTGGAATGGGTTGAAAAGAATGTGAGAAGAGGAAAAGGCAGGAACTGTAGTTTTTTCAAGAAATTCTGCAAATATCTGAAAAAGGAATTAAAAAATGGAGGTGGTAAGACAGTAATTTTTGTTTAAGGAAGGAACATCTTTCTATGCTGATGACTATGACCTAGGAGTGACAAATAAGAGATGGAAAAACCGTAGGATTGATACTCTTGAGGAATTGAAGGTGGGTAGATTTTTGGATAAGAGCAGAGATACTGGTCCTGATCCACAAAGTGTGGGAACAGCTGCAGGCAGGTTGATGGCGCAGATGGTGGGAGAGACGGGAAGTTACTGCCTGGTTGCCTTTACAGAGGGCAGTAGAATGGGAGAGAGGAAGTAAGTCGGAGGGCTGGAAAGAAGAGAGAGGAAATAGCTAGTGCCTGTAATCCTAGCAACTCAGGAGGTCCAGGCTTCTGTTGAGCCCAGGAGTTTGAGACCGGCCTGAGCAACATAGCAGGACCCCATCCCTTAAAAAAAATTTTTTTTTAACTAGTTAAGGCGTGGTGCATGCCTGAAGTCCCAGCTACTCCACAGACTGAGGCAGGAGGATCACTTGAGCACAGGAGTTTGAGACTGCAATGAGCTATGATCCAGCCACTGCACTCTAGCCTGGGAGACAGAGTGAGACCTCTTCTCTAAAAAAAGAAAAGAAAAAAATGTCATTTAGAGGAGTAGGAAAGTGAGGGTATGTAAGAGTGTTCTTACGCACAAGAAGGTATGTAAGAAAGTTTGGCAGGGTTCAGTGGCCATTAATTTAAAAAGAGACTAGCCAGTACAACAGCAAAATGTAGATGCTCAGCTCTACATACAGAGAACCAGAAGCAATTACAACTCCAAAAACATTCGTAGCTTACGCTAACATAAAAAGATTACATTTTTTAAAAAAGGATCCACACTTGCAGTTAGTTGTGCAGTATACTGACTTTATTTTCCCTCAGGCCAAATCTGATTCCATTGTTTTGGCTCTTGAACATCTGACATAGTTTTGGTTTCCCTTTTTTCCATTCTTACATTCTAACTCAGATCTTCCTATGAAATACAGTTTTAAAAATTCAGTAACATAGCAGGGGGAGATATCCTTGCAAAAACACCACCATCGCTGGGCTTGGTGGCTCAGCCTGTAATCCCGCGCCTTGGGAGGCTGAGGTGAGCAGACTGCCTGAGCCCGCAGGTTCGAGACCCGCCTGGCCAACTTGGCGAGACCTCATCTCTACAATAAATCAAAAAATTAGCCGGGCATGGTAGCGCGCGCCTGTAGTTCCAGCTACTTGGAAGGCTGAGGCGGAAGGATCGCCGGAGCCCAGCAAGTCAAGGCTGCGGTGGCCGGGAGTGGCCGCTGCACTCCAGTCTGAGTGACAGAGTGAAACTCCACCTCAAAAAAAAAAACCAAAAAAAACAAAAACACCACCATCAAATTTTGTTTCCTCTATGAAAAAAGGCTCTATTAACAAAATTAGATTTTCGACTTATGTATGATTACACTAACTGCACTTCTGTGACCAAGTGCAATTAGTCACCAATGTAAATATGACCACCCAGAAGACGTCCAGGGAGCTGCAAGTTAGCCTGGTAGATCGAGCACGCAGGCTGCACTGAACGTCAACGCCAGATGACGGCCTGGGCACTGAGGAGCCCCATTTCTGCTTCTGTGTCACCTGGAGAAGTTGTGACTTACACTAATTCAAAAATGACATGGAGAATTCGACTAACACTGAAAGCTAGCCTGCTCTGCATTTGTAAAAGAGAACAAAGACACTTCCCTCACAAGAACCTCTTAAGGATCTGATTAAATGAGAAAATGTACGGACAGGACCTACAGGTAAGCAGTTGCCCAGAAAATACCAACTTTCTACACTTCTCCCCATCCCTTTTTTGTCATTTCTGTCCAGGGAAATAGCTAAGTCGGTTTCACAGCTACTTAGGAGAAATGCTCCCAACTTTAAACTCCTTCATCAGTGCTCAAACTGTATTGTGCGCAAGAATCACCTGCAGAGGTTAAAAGATAGTCCTAGGCCCCACCCTTACAGAGATTCAGCAAGTGGGTAAACCTAGAAATGTGCACTTTTAATCTTTTACTAGAGTTGTTTAAAATATATTTGTATTTCACTGTTGTATTGGCATCAAAATACATATCCAGGGAAGACATGGTTGCACATTACTATAAAGAAAATTAAAAACTGGCTGTAGCACTTTCTGAACTGCAATTAAAAATTTTAAGATCACCCTGTTTTACAATGTCCTTTATTTCTTTAAATCTTTATGAAACATTCCATCTTTTGCAGATCATAGTGATTTATTAACAAATTTATGTGTTCTTTTCCCACCTGTTTAATACAGAAAAATTATTCAGCAGTTATTTTCATCTGGCATTTCACTAAGTACAGAATTCAGAGTGTCAGTATTAGGTCAGTCATTTAAGTGGGCCACACAAGTTTATCCTCATTGTGCCCAACACCCACTCAAAGGATGAGCCGCATAACAGACGCCTCCAAGAATATACAGTAACCTTAGTTTCTTGACATGAACTAGTCCTGTTTAACAGGTCAAATTGCTAGTCTTCATAAACAAACTAGAAGACTCAAGTATATAGCCGTACACATCTTCAATGGCAAGTTCATTTCAACAAGAGCCTCTATAACTAACTGTACACATGTACAGTTTTCTGCTAACATTGCAAAAGCCCCTCTGAACAAAGTTATAATTTAGAATTTAAAACAATCTCGATGAGAAGTGTACCAGGTGATTTTTTTGTAGCAGAAATTAATTACAACCATTTTTCCTCACGTGATTTTAAAGATAAGAGAAGTGGAAAGCAAGCAGGCATACAACCAATAATGTTTATACTTAGAACTTCAGATACAAAGCACAGCAGGTCTATGGCTGTAGAAGATAAATTAGAAATAAAACTAGCACTGAAACAATAATTTCTTCCAAATAGCAGGAAACAAGTTCTCCAAACCATTATTTAGATCGTTATTTTGTGTTCACCTATTTATTTTGGCGTTTAAAAAAAATCCCTTTGCCAATTATGACATTTGACCAGACAGCCCAACAAGCAAGACCTGAAATCATACTGCATGAAATAAACAGTCATTTAATCCCTGATTAACTGAACTCCTTAATGACTTCTCAGTGTTGTGAATAGCAGAAAGGTCCAAGAACCTCTGTAGATTTGCTTAAAATCCCTGTTAGTATTTATGAGAGCTTTTAGAAGTTCAATTATACTCTTATCCATTTGCTGATCCACATTATTAATGTTATACTCTTAGTGTTCCACAACCATTTAAGCCTTATGTGTTAGAGTGATCTGTTTCAAGTTCTCAAGAATGCTTTTTGACTTATGTACCGCAGGGTATCATCCTTTTCCACCCCACCCTCACTCCCACAAAAGATGGCAGAATGGAGACAAATTTCCAGACCTCAGTATAAAAGTTAAGATTTTCCAGTCTTGGATTATAACCTTTAGTTAAAAGGAATGCAAAGTATATATGCCAATTGTTAAATTTTTTATGAAATTGAACATGAAACAAAAAGAAAATGAATTCATTTAAGAATAAGACATGAGACACAATAAGATATGACACACTCTTCATCTATGAGCAAAAACTTCAAATCCCTGCCTGAAACTAACTTGAAAAATGATACAAAGTCTACAGCTGCTTTAAAGGACTATAAGATAACACATCTGCAAACCTATATAAACCACTGAAAACACTCTTTTTTTTTCATCTTCAAAACTATCTATGAAGCTCATTTCATTCCATTTAAAAGTCAGTCCTCGGCCAAGCTCTGTGGCTCAACCTGTAATCCCAGTACTTTGGGAGGCCAAGGTGAGTGAATTGCCTGAGCCTGAGGGTTCAAGACCAGCCCAGGCAACTTGGCAAGACCTCGTCTCTACAATATATCAAAAATTAGCCAGGCGTGGTAGAGCGTGCCTGTAGTTCCGGCTACTTGGAAGGCTGAGGCGGAAGGATCGCCAGAGCCCAGCAGGTCAACACTGGGGTGGCCCTGAGCCTGCCACTGCACTCCGGCCTGGGCAACGGAGTGAGACTCTGACTCAAAAAGATAAAAAATATAAAAATAAAAATAGAAGTCAGTCATCACATATCCATGGTTGCTTTTACTGTGGTTTTAAAAGGGGGGTACTGCTAATAATTTAAGACATGTTAGAGACAGAACAGGTATGAAGGGTTTTTAAAAATATCTTGGATGCTTTAGTTAATTTTTAAGAATTTAAAATTATTTGCTCCTCCTTAATATGAAACTCTTCCGAAATAGCTTCTGACAAGTAAATACATGTTCCTTAGGCGCTGTGAGGTATATTAATGGTGGTGCATAAATTCAGGTTGAGAAGCGGACAATGTGATTTTTACTACTGACAAGACAGTTAACACGCACGATCTTATCCACTGACAGCAAGAAATGTCTTTACCCCACTACTCCTGAGATTCTAAAGAGGAAAAACAAACAACCTTTAAAAGAATCCATAGATAATTACAAGAAGTACACATATCTAGGGTACTAGAAAAGATGCTTTCTTTTGTAAGGCATCAATGATTAAATTAACAGAATGCAAATCTAACAAAAGATGGTTAACACTCAGTATCATAAAATGATTTATCTTTTCTCTTAAACTTCTCTAACTCCTGCTAGTCTTGCCAGCTTAAATAAGAAAAGAATGCCTCCTGGCCTAATAAACTATGGCTATAAAAAACTAAGACATCTGAAACTATTAGGCACATCAAAGGTACAGTTTATGTAGTTCAAGCTTCCCTTCTTAAGGGGCACATGAGTTACCTGGCACACTATACATATGGAACTGTCAGGATCATCTACTAAATTCAACTTTCACATTTTTAGTCAAACTGAAAGACTCATTATAGTAAATATTCAAACATATCATATTCAGTTACAACTGATTAAGTGTAACATTTTACCAGATAAAAAGCTGGAACTTAAGTATAAGAAACCTTCATTCACTGTGCTCGTATTGGTCTCTTCTTTTTAGATGAAAGCCAGTCATCAATACTTCCAACACAGCAGTTTAGAAGATAAACGTCCAAAACAGGTGATTTGGCTGTCGTCCATAATTTAGCGATTCAATGCCACTGGCATCATAATGCTCTGGAGAGCAAGTGTATCTCCATATTTTAGTCAGATTTGTCTTTCTTCTTTCCTGTTAAGGGCACTTTGTTTACAACAGCAGACCCAACAGCGGTAACACCTCCAGCCACAGCAGATACGCCCCCTTTTACCAGCCCTATTCCCATGGAAGGCACAGTTGTAACAGCTGTTTTGGTCACCTCCAGACTCTTTCCACCAATCCAAGCCACACCACCAATAGTGGCACCAACAGCTCCCTTTGTAACACTGAAGAGACCCCCAGTCACACGGGACAACATGCCTGGTTGCTGCTGTGGGTGATCTTTCACTGAACCTATGAGAGAAAATATCATGAGACAGTCACATAAGTCTTTAAAAGAGCAGTACAAATCATTAAGTAGCCTAAGACTTCCTCACAATCGGGAAGTTGACTTGATAAGACCAAACACACTGACTGAAACACACTAGAAAGCTCTTTTCCTTGAGGGTATAGTTGTACACGTTTTTACAATTTCTTGGTCCAATACTAAGTTTCTATGAGAAGAAATGCTTTGGAGACTAGACAATGTTCATAAAATAAGATCCTATTTTAAATGGTTCCTTGATTTGTAGTTTTGTTGTTAATAAATAACCCAAATTTTGTATCCTAAAAGGAACATAAAAAAATAAAGAGATAAAGATATTTGGGCCTTCATTTTATTGACAGGATTTAATCAACCATTACTTAAACAATCTTCTTCATCAAAAGCAATGGTTCTCATTCCTGAGGTATGGACTGGGACTCCTGGGGATCCCCAAGCCCATTTCAGGGGATCCACAAAGTAAAAACTATTTTCATCATAAAACTAAGATGTCATTTGTCTTTCACTTTCATTCTGTCACAAGTCTAGAGTAGCGTTTTCGGAAGCTAGATGACATGACAACAGACTGAATGCAGAAGCAGCTGCAATAACCTAGCTATATTCTATTAATTTAAACATTAAAGAGACTTGCAAAAATGTATAATTACTCTGCTCATAATTTTTTGGTTTTGAAAGAGTTAGTTTTCATAGAAATATGCTAATCGTGTTAACATATAAAGATGTATTAATGAACAAATCCACTGGATTCTTTTAATGAATAAAATATTCGTATTTCTCAGTTTTTATTGCCAATATGGTAAATACTGACAAAGCCACAAGCTCTTTGGGGCCTCAGTTTCTGAGAGTATAAAAGCATGCTGAAATCAACAAGTATGAGAACCCCTGTTAAATGTATTTGGGTCACTTGATGTATTTAAGGAACTCACACTGTGCCAAAACAAAAACTATTCATCAGTTAAAACTGTGGTATCTACTAAAATCATTTTGATTCAGATGTAAGTAGGGTAGACAAAATGTAGCTATGGTTAATCCCTAAATCACTGCCCCAATAATTGTTATGAAAGAGAATGTATACTTTTAAGCATCCAGTTTAAAAAAAAATTCTATAGCTACTCCTGGAAAAGGTAATATCAATATGAAAAATGAAGCTTTATCTAAGTCATGAGTTTGTTTTCTTTGGTTAGTTGATTTGTTTTTTAAAGAGAGCATGTAACCTCAAACTCAAGCATAAAATGACCAGCAGGAAGACTTCATAAAAATTTGCACCAATTTCAAATAAACACAGGCTTTTTTCTCTTCAGTACCTAATGATTTAGGTAGCAACAACACATAAACAATGGTGTTTTTTCTTTTTCTATGCTTAACTGAAAATACTTGGTAACTATACAATTCAGGTTTTCACCTCTGAAAAAATACAATCTCACACAAAGAAAGGTAAATTTTGGGGTACACGGGTCCAACTAAGACCACCAAAGCTACTAGATCCTAGCAGAATGAGATTATCAGAGAAGGCAACATGGGAAACTGGTAATATCTGATGGAGAAAACAGAAAAAATTCTGAAAATCAAGATTTCCTAACATACAAGGAACAAATTTACCTTGAAATGGTTTTAATTGTTTGGAGGTTTTGTATTCTATTACAAGTGGGAAAATCTCACTAATTATTCAAAATAATGCACAGACATAGATATATTAGTTATAAATTTCAAAAACCAACCAAATATTTCTATTAAAGTTATTTAAGTATTTAGCATCATTAATGCAAAATTTTAATGGCTGAAATAAAAGACTTAGGAGGTCAGGCTCAGTGCTTCGGCCTGTAATCCCAGCACTTCGGGAGGTCAAGGGAAGTGGATTACCTGAACCCTGAGACCAGTCCAGGCAACTTGGTGAGACTTTGTCTCTACAATAAAAAAAAGAAAAATTAGCCAGGTGTGGTAGCGCACATCTGTAGTTCTGGCTACTTGGAAGGCTCGCCAGAGACCAGCAGGTTGATGCTGGGGTGGCCATGAGAGTGTACCACTGCACACCAGCCTGGGCAACAGAGTGGGACTCCGACTCAAAAAAAAAAAAAAAAAGACCTAAGATATAGAATTAACATTTGAATATATTAATTATAAAATTATGATGGAAAAGATACATAATTGGTCATTCTTTTATAATCGAGGTCAATAGCACTAGGAAAAAAGGCAAATCCTGGTTTTAGGAGAAAAACCATGCCTCATGCCCAATACCTCATTAGTAAAATTATACTGCTATCCAAATTTTGTACACAGACATTTAATAAAGACAAATTTTTATCTTAATTAAATAAAATAAACATTAATGCAGTTGATCTCTTTAATTCAGTGTGCTCTTAATTACCACCATATAAATTATCTGCTTTGCAGATTACTCTCATTTAACAGTTGGCATAGACATTCTGTTCTGTTCTTCTGGACAATTATGCCCTTAATGGCCTTTATTTATCCCTTTCCTGATTTCTTTCTCACAGAGTCCTTGTTAACTTTCTCAGTGAGCCCTAACTTTTCTTTTCAAAACTCCATGGTTTTAGTTCTAAAAAGTAAAGGAAAAGAAAGAGATGAGCTAAGAATTTTCCAGGCAGCCAGGTTCAGTGGCTCAGCCTGTGATCCCGTGCCTTGGAAGGCTGAGGTGAGTGAATTGCCTGAACCTGCGGGTTCGAGACCTGCCTGGGCAACTTGGCGAGACATCATCTCTACAATAAGTTTTTTTAAAAAATTAGCTGGGCGTGGAAGCGCGTGCCTGTAGTTCCAGCTACTTGGAAGGCTGAGGCAGGAGGATCGCTGGAGCCCAGCAGGTCGAGGCTGCAGTGGCTGGGAGCGGCCACTGCACTCCAGTCTGGGCGACAGAGTGACACTCCAACTCAAAAAAAAAAAAAAAAAAATTAATTTTCCAGACAATTTCTTCACCAGAGTAAACTAAACCTAACTGGCTATTCCTCCACCCAACAAACTGAACTAAGTCTAATCAGTGTGTTCCTCCACCTTCTCTTAGCTTAAGTGTAAGCTTTTTATTGTGTTATTTTCCTGGCAATTTCATTTTTACTTACCAAAATAAGAAAAGAAATATAAAAAGAAAATTATACACAGTAGGTAACTGAACTGGGACGAAAATACAATACCTAGAGTCACAACCTCTAGCCCTAGCAATCAACATGCAATTCTCCAAGGAGACCACTATATGGATTAAGTTTAGTAACAATCTGGACCAAAACCATAAATAAATAATGCCTGTAGTCATTTTTTATATGTAGTCAGAATATTAAGGTGTGCAATTAGTGTTTACAAGGGTTTCTGAAGTAAAGATAAGAATAAAATGGTTTATGAGGTCACAATTCTCAAACTAAGAGAGAGATACGATTTTAAAAAATAAATTAAACAGACCCCCAAGACCATGTATTATTAACATAGGGAGAGATACCAATTATAATATAATGAGTAATAGTTTAACAACAAATTTCAAATGCCCTTTGAATTAAGTTGATTTTTGGTACGCAGGACATCAAAACTAAGCAGAGTCCATCCTTCCTCTGTGCCTACCCTCACCCTTTACAAAGGGTACTTTTACAAAATGGCCTTGAAAAGATGACAGGAAAACAGACCTTACATAATTGTGCCCTCATTCACCAATACCTGTGCTTTTGTATTAGAAGCTAAAAATGTTTATCCTCAAATATTTTTGGAACATATTTACTGACAAAGTAAAGAGGTTATATCTCTTTAAATTTAATAAAAACAGTCAGAGCTTTAATTCACCAGGAAATTTTCTCCATTCTTAAGTGTTACAGAGGCACACTTACCTTCTGGTGGCTCATCACTAAGGTATGATGGAATTTCTTGATTTTTATCTGCCTGATTCATGATCTCCTAAAAAACACACACACACAAATACATTTCATTTTAACTTCAAAATGTGAGACTACCTTTTAGCACATTCTAAAGTGACTTAATCAACACCTACAAGACTTCATTTTGTAGCTTTTAGGAAATACTTTAAATTATACTACTGGGCAGTACAAATCTTATTTGAAACGGTAACCAAAGAGTGGCATAGTATAAGCTTTCCTATATTGTTATTGTGGTGCTTCAACTTAACTGAAAATTACTAATTGAAAGAGTTTGACGATAGGGGTTAGCAAACATTTTAAATGTTTCCTCCTACAGAATACTGTTTAACTTAATTATAATTTATTTCACAACAGCTTACAGAAAAACTTATACCATAACTAAAAAAAGGTGTTCTATCGTAAAAAGTTCTTTTTAAAAAAGGCAACACTGTCTATAAAGATGATACCACCATCTGAATCAGTAAAATATTTTGATGACTTTTTGTTGTTCTTAGAGCTCTTATGAACAGAGATAGTAATAGCATTCAAAATCTACACAAAAAAATATACTATGATTACCTCTAAGTAAAAGACATAAAGGGACTGAAGGAAAAATAAAATAAGCTATGTTGGAGTAAAGAAAACATGATTAAACTTTCTTTTTCCAGTTTATTTTATTATCTTAAAATATTTCCTTTTAAATTCATTCGACTAAAGATTAAAACAGGTCAAAACTAGTCTAAGTGTTCTGTATGATATGTTGTGCTTGGTCAGAAAACTAGGGTCATGATGCCAGCAGTCAACTAAGTATCTCCTAGTCATACATCCCTGGAGCCTTAATCATTTTATCTGTACATATATAACAGATATTAAAAAGGATATTGTGAAAAATAACAATGTAACCAGTGAAAGGCACTAAACAAATGATTTACACTTTTAAAAGATCATTCTGGTTGCTGTAGGGAGAACAAGCAATAGAAGAATAAGAGTAGAGGCAGAAAGAGCTGTTAGGAGATTACTTCAACAATCCAGGCCAAAAAGTTGTTGGTGGCTTGGATGAAGGTGGTAGAGCCACAGGTCGTGGGAAGTGGGGATTTTCATAGGGAATTTTAACTTCATGCAAGTCATCTTACTATGCCTTTAAAGCCTAAACCCTGTGTAAGATGAGACTTCACTGCACCCCACAGAGTCCAGCAGCACAAGTCATGTGTGTAATAAACATCTTTCAACTGCTCTGGTGAAAATCCTGACTTGGGCCATTTATCAACAGTACCTAATCTTACCTGGTTTGTTTTGTGAATTTAGCACATCATCCCAAGTACAACTTAAGATTTAAAAAGTAATAGTAGAGGTGAGTGGATGGCCTGAGCCCACGGGTTCGAGACCTGCCTGGGCAACTTGGCGAGACCTCATCTCCACAATAAATCAAAAAATCAGCCGGGCGTGGTAGCGTGCGCCTGTAGTTCCAGCTACTCGGAAGGCCGAGGCGGAAGGATCGCCAGAGCCCAGCAGGTCGAGGCTGCGGTGGCCGGGAATAGCCACTGCACTCCAGTCTGGGCGACAGCGTGAGACTCCAACTCAAAAAAAAAAAAAAAGTAATAGTAAAGCTTTGTAATCTCCTTCAGATTACATAGCTTTACTATTACTATATACATATATCAGCAGGTACATTAGGTTCTTGACTGATTTGCCTTAATTTTAAAACTCCCCAAACCAGAAAGTTAGATTTATTTCCATTCATACCTTATTTGATCTATCATCATGGTATGATCTTAACAAATTATACAGAATAGTGGCTAAGGCCCTGAGATCAGAGAGCCTGAGTTTGAATCCCAACTTGACCACAAGCTGTGTGCAGAGGACAAATTCATTAGACCTTGCTGTTTAGGTGATTTAAAATTAAATTAAATAGAAATTAAAGATATTCTAAATCAAATCTAAAGTGAGAATGCTCTTTAACAAATTCCAAAACAAAGCACGCAGAATTCCTGGCAGAGTATGTACGTCCCTTCTGAGGAATATGATATTTTGAAGTCACTTTCTTCAACACTGGACTATGAATTTCAGGGGAAAGCTACTTTTGTCTCATTTGTTCATCACTGTAATCCCAGCACTATGTACCGTACATATACATATGCCATACATAGAAATCCAGATCACCTGGTTGATCAACTAACCAACCGAAGCTACCATACCCCATACAGAAGTAGAGAAAATTACATGCACCCGTACATCTTATATATTTCAGGTGGAGTTTGAAAATAGGTGTAATTATGATATTAACTGCATACATTTCAAAACTTTCTGGTCCCTATCCCACAAATCCCTACCAACAGTCTTACCTTTACCTCCTAAAAAAGAATCCCTTTAAAAAATTCATTTTTCTACAGTCTATCTTGTAATTAAAAAAAGAAAAAAAATCAGTTTAAAAAGATCAGTGCTACTATGACAGCACAAAGATATATACAAATTAATCTAAGGAATATGAACTGACTTCATCCTTCTGTGGGCAGACAATAAGAAGCCACAAGTAGAGCAATACTGTCACATCTCTGCTTCAAGACACTGAAGCAAGAACAGATGGATGGACAGAGAGATTAAACACAGTTAAATGGCTATTCCAGTAGTCCAATAGGAGAGTAACATTCTAAACCCTGCCAATTTTTCCTGTCTAAACAAATGCTTGGGCCAAAAACTAAGGTTACCTTTGACTACCTTTTTCTGACACACCCATCTAATCAGTAAATTCTGTCGCCTAAATAAAGCCACAATACAGCCATTTCTCTTCACCTCTCGTTGAAACACTTCAGTCTAAGTCGTCGTCATCTCTTACTTGTATTACTGCAACATCTCTGGTCTCTAAGCTCCCACCTTTGCTCTTCCTTCAGTGGAGCCATGTCACCTTCCGCTTTACCTCAAAACCTTCCAATTGCTTCCTATTTCACTCAGATTAAAATCCAGACTTCTTAAACCTTGGCCTTTGAGGCAACATTTAAACCACACTTCTGCTCCGATATCATCTCCTACTATTCTACCTCTTGATAATTTCACTCTATAACAAGGAATTCCTTGTTTGCCCTTTGCTGAAAGGCTCCTCTCCAAGACGTGTACATGGCTAGTTTCCTTACTTCATTCAAGTCCTGGTGCAACATCCCCTATCAGAAGGTATTCCCTGACCAGCTTATAATAGATGCGCATCCTCTAGTCTTCTCCCTACCATTTTCACCTAACCCTGCTCTATTTTCTTCATAACTCTTATTGCCACTTGAGACACGTATGCTTCCTTTGTGTCTTTCCCAATTAGAAAGTAAGCTCTATAAGAGCAAGGGATTGGCTTTGTTCAATACTCTATCCCCAAAGCTTTATCAATATCTGATCCATGGTGGACACTCAAATACCTCAACTTTTTGTATGTAGTAGAACAAGACTTGGGTATTGAGACGAAAGGGAGGATCTAAGATATCAGATTTCTCATGTAAGCAGTTAAATGGACTGAGATGATGATGACAGGGAACACTAGAGATAGGGTCTCATTCTGTCACCCAGGCTGGAGTGCAGTGGCACCATCATGGCTCACCACAGCCTTGACCTCCTGGGCTCAGGCGAGCCTTCCGCCTCAGCCTCCCAAGTAGCTGGGACTACAGGTGTACACCCAGCTAATTTTTTGATTTGCTGTGGAAACTAGGTTTTGTATGTTGCCCAGGCTGGTCTGAAACTTCTGGGCTCAAGTGATCATCCCACCTCAGCCTCCCAAAGTTCTGGGATCACAGGCATGACCCCAAAACAAACCCTCTGAGAGAAGATGAAGACTTGATTTCAAACAAGCTGTATTTGAAATGCTCAGCAGGCAACTGCGTTTAAGGGGCCAGAGACTTGGCAAAAAGTCTGAGATGTGGTTCTGAGAGTGGTCTGAAGTGATAGTTGATACTGTGGTCAGTGGGTGCATGACCAAGAAAAAGAGTGACGACTACAGCCTCCACCCTTTGGACTCCCATCTCAGCCCCCTGAGCAGCTGGGACTACAGGCACGAGCCCACCATGAACAGCTTATTTTTTTTTGTGTAGAGACAAGGTCTATGTTACCTATGTTGGTCTCGAATTCCTGGTCTCAAGTGATTTTCCTGCCTTGGCCTCCCAAAGTGCTGGAATTACAATAAATAAAACAGTTTTACTTATTTATTTATTTAGAGTCGGAGTCTCACTGTTACCCAGGTTGGAGCACAGTGGCATGATCATGGCTATTGCAGAACTAACCTGCTGGGCTCTAGCAATCATTCCACCTCAGTCTTCCAAGGAGCTGGAACTACAGGCATGTGCCACCACGCCTGGCTAATTTTGATTTATTGTAGAGACGAGGTCTCCCCAAGTTCTCCAGGTTGGTCTCAAACTCCTGGGCACAGACAATCCTCTTGCCTCCCAAATAGTTTTACTTTTCAATGCACACACTTAAAAAGTAAATGAAGGGGCAAACCCTTCGGGTCCCCTCCCACTGTGGGAGCTTCTCTGTCCTCTCAATAAATCCTTTTTCAAAAAAAAAATAAAAGAAACTGAAGAGTGTGTACTTGGACATTTTCTTTTTATTTTTGAGTCAGAGTCTCACTCCAATGCCCAGGCTGGAGTGCAGTGGCATGCTGACGGCCCCTGCAGCCTCCACCTGCTGGGCTCAGGTGATCCTTCTGCCTCAGCCTTCCAAAGTAGCTAGAACTACAGGCACTTGCCACTACCACCCAGCTAAATTTTTGATTTATTGTAGAGAGGAGGTTCACTTTTAAAAGATAACTAGACTTTCCAGAAATTTCATTCTTGCCTGAAGATGCTTCAGGGTGAACTCTGACTCACCAACTCTCCCTTGCCAGCCCAACCACACGCCAAATTCCCTTAGTTCATTCTGCCCTTACATTAAGAATATTTCTGAAGAAGAGTCTGAAGGGTAGAAAGACAGATACCATTATACAGAAATGTTCAGTTACATTTAAAATTATTAGTAGTTACCGACAGGATTATCAATAAACAACAAAATAGCAAATCTGGAGTCTGGCCAGGCCAGGCATATGTCTACCCAAATTAAAGGAACTTGCTATTCAGAGGCCCTTGGAAGTCCTAAGTGCCACAGGGATTGCTTTTTGTCCT